AACACATCTATTTCCCTATTTGGTCGCTGAATCTCCTGCTTGTTTATGTTTTGGAACAGATGCATTACGCCGTTGAGGTTAATTCCCTCCATAGGGGAGGATATCCGATCAATTCCATAAACGCGGAAGTTGACAGTCTCCCCTGATTCATCGATTAAGGGAATTTTGTATACTGATGATCTCATCTCTTCCTTGACACCGCCAACTTTGACAACCGACAGCCTAATTTCCTCTCCATCCAAACTTAGCTCACGTGCTTTAGCAAAGGTGATCAGACTAATGGTTGCACCACCGTCCCACAGCACATTTAAAGGAGCAGCATTGACAGCTGATTTTATTTTCATCACCTGCAGCAAGCAAGTTCCCGATTCCTTTCCATCTGCGTCAGAATTTGGCCGGGAAAAATATGGTATATGGAATGCAACCCCTTGAACGTGGGCTACGTGTAAGGAATCATGGTGATATTTTGAACAATCATCACTGTTGCATTTCTTGCGTTGTCTGCAGTCAATAGAGCGGTGACCAATCTTGAGGCATGACCAGCAAGCTCGCTTTTCCTTTAACAACTGGACTTTCCCTTCAGGCGCCATCTCTTGATATACTCTACAATCGGCTGTATTATGCGTGCTCGAGCTGTGAACTAAGCACCTGGTCGTCTTTGTAGCTTCTTTGTCTTCAATAAACTTTCCATCACGGTCAATCATGTGGACACGACCTTTGCGAGCATGATCCCCTCCAGTCCTCAGCTCTGATGGCTCGTATTCTATAATCTTTCTTTGTTCTTGAAGGAATTGGAGAAGATACGGGAACTTATTTTTCTGTTCTACTTTGCTGGTTGATCTGTTGACTTCTCTAGACCATTCCCGCTTAATTAATGTCACGAGACAATCGTTCTTCGATTAAACTGACTGTTCCACTATTGGATATTTCAGATTCCATATTGATTCTGGCTAGATCTTGATAGCCTTTCTCAACCGTATTTATAAGCTCTAGAAATGATTGATCATCTCCTTCCTGTAAGTGCTTTATATTCTTAATATCACATACAACAACATCGACTAATTTTGATGGCAGACCATATTTCTCATCTAATCGCTTCCACATTTTCGTTACATCATCATCTAAGTTGTAGATGGCATCAAATGCTTCACCTTCGAGAGAATTGATTTGAGGACATATGCAACTTTTCCAGATTCCAACTCTGGTAGGATTTGTTTTTCAAAATCTGATCGAAAACGAGGGTAGTCTCGAATATTTCCACTGAATTGGGGTAATTTCATTCTTTCTAGTTTCATTGTGCTTCCTCTCATTGCATTACCTTTGGTATCACTTTTCCGTTGAATAACGTCGCCGATTTTTTTAGATATTTGCGAATAAATCTTTTGGAGACTCGTGAACCAAGCTATCTCATAACCAGCTGTCTCAGCATCAAGTAGCAGAACATATTCACCATTGACCCTTTTACACTCTTCAAGTTGTCTTTTTAGCTCAGTTCTTGCCGTTTCAAGCATTGATGCTGCCGGATTGGGTTTGTCTATCTCTGCAGCTAATGCCTCTTCTAGATTTTCCACCTCTTGTCTAAATGCGATTTCTTCAACTTTGCGGGCTTGTTCAGCTCGAAAAATAGCTTTATCGCCCTCTTTCTTACGAATTTGATCTTCTTTCTCTTTAGAAATTTGTTCTTGTTGCCGTTCGATTTCCCTTTGATCCTCTTCTACGGTCTCAAAGTATGCCAACTTTTGCCGTAACACGTCATCATAAACTTTATCCATTTCATCAATCCATCCATCCTCTTGCTCAACATCATAAGTCGTCTTCGAATTTTCCAGCGATTCTATATACCCTTCGTGCTTCCGTTGGACGTCATCCCAGAGCTGCTTCAAATCTTTAAATCTACTCTCGATTAATGCAGCCGTATCTTTAGAGTTAATAGAGTCAACTAATTTCTTGACGTTCCGATTAAATACGCGTTTAGCCGAAGTTCGAGCCAATTTAGCCTCTGCTACCTCCAGAACCATGACTGTGCGCCAATTTTTGAACGGAATCACTTGAAATATTTTTCGTCAACTGGAAGCACAGATCGGAAGTCACTCGAAAATTCGCCGGATATCACTCACATGTTTACTAAAATTCCAAGTGTATATAGTTCGTTTAATATATTTCTTTAAAATGCTTTCAAACGTTGTTTACTCACTTTCTTGCCACTTTGATACAAGGACTTTGAATTTCCAGTGTTCGAAATGTTTCGTCAATTTAAATGAGGCACACAATATCGTAAACAGTATCGTAATAAGGTTTCGAACCTACGAACAAAATATGAATTTACATAAATAATTACCCCTAATCCCACATTACAACAGGCCAAATGAGGCATTATTTAACGTACTTACACTATGGGCTCTCATAAGTCCAAGTCATGTATATATGTCTCGCCGGAGACAGCTTCCACAGTTCTCAACGGAGAATAAACCAGTCCAAACAGTTCTCAACGGAGATATAAATTTCAACCTACAAGCTAGCATGCATACCAAAACTAATTAATTATTCTAATGTTTTCTTTTGGCGGGAAAATCTATTCCCAGTCCCAAGTTCGCAATTACAAACTTATCTGATCAAAACAATCTCTAAAGCGTGCCGCACACGAGAGCTATCTGCTGAGCCAAAAGTTACTCGTGCCTGTTAGCTCAGCCGATAGCTCAGCGATCAAACATGTTTGATACGTGAGAAAAGGTTGCATGAGGCAAAAAACTCAGTAAATTGTACCCGCACACGGTGAGCTATCGGCTGAGCTAACAGGCACGAGTAACTTTTCGCTCAGCAGATAGCTCTCGTGTGCGGCAGGCTTAACAGAACATAATCTTACAGTTGCATCTATATCGCCATCTTGCTTACTTCCTCGTGGTCCCTAATTAATGTTAATTATGTTAATTATGCTAGACACTACAGCTATGTGCTATGTGAAACAATGTTGTTTATAGCAATAAGAGTCATTGTTGATCAATAACAATGCTCATTTGCTAAAAATATACAAGTATTGATTCCATTTCCAAACTATTATACTATGTGAATATATTGGCAATTAATCCAATTATATATAAAAGGAGATACAGTAGAATTGAAATAGCTACCAGTTTCAATCAAATAACTACTTTAATTTCTGTATCAAGCCTCCTGGGTATTATTGTTTCCTAAACATCATTGAGGGGCCGGCACTTGTTCTAAATATATGCAATAAGTCTGGTTACCATTAAAAAATGTCCATATTCAGAGTTACCGTTGTACTATATTTTATTATAATATAGCATTTGTAAATTCTGAACGTTGATTGACTAAGAGCTCTCATTTTTAAGGAAATTTCCTTAAACTGAGGAAATTTTAACCTTTTTAAGGAGACTTTTAAGCTCAGATTGAACCTCCATTCAGTGAGTGTGAGTGAGCTTTTAGAATACGGGCGTATGTTTCTGAGTGACTTTGACTCGCTGTGTTTTTGAAGCGCAGTTTTCGAACTCGAAACTTTTTTGCAGCAAACTTTGCATGATGGTTCGTCGTTCGCGTTTTTTGGTGCAACAAGCCAATGTTTAAAAGTAGGATATTTGTCCATTCCGCTCGAAATTTTTGTTTATACTTTTTTTTTCAATTTTAGTCTTTTTTGGAGCGCTTCCCTTGGATTCAAAATCAGAAAATACAGAATCCGCCATTTTCCGATGTAAAAAAGTTATATAATTTTACATATTTTCGCGCCAATTGCGCCTATGATCGCGCGCCACTTGAGTGTTCCTCAGAGACTAGGCCAAGTCTAAGGAAATTTTTGTTGATTTAAGGAATTTTTACCGAATTTTTGTTGATTTAAGGATTTGAAATTCCGTTCTGAGAGCCCTGGCCATATTTGTGTCGAAAAAGTGAAATTTTTTAATAACTTTTGGTCGCTGTATTTGTGCTTTTTCGCCGAATTTACTTCTCTTTGTGGACTAATCGTCTTTTATTATTATTATTATTATTATTATTATTATTATTATTATTATTATTATTATTATTATTATTATTATTATTATATTATTATTATTATTATTATTATTATTATTATTATTTTTATTATTATTATTATTATTATTATTATTATGAACTATATTTCAACACGGTACAACTTCACCTATACTAAAATTAATTATGTACAAGATATAAAAAGAAAAAAAGGTGATCTTCCAACCGGCCGTTCTCACACAAACAGAAATAAGAAATAATTACAAGAAAATTATTTCGGGTAGATGGAAACAATGGCAGGATCACTTGATGTTAATTTGCATGCTCCAAGTTAGATTTAAAATTAGCAATAGTTGTTGATGCTTTTACCGATGCAGGAAGGCAGTTCCAGACTTCCGCACCTCTGTAGGAGAATGCATTTTTCATACTACAGTGGAACCCCGCCTTACGACCACCCCGTTAATACGGTCACCTCGATAATACGGTCACTTTTTTTTGTCCCGGCGAAACACTAATACATTTTATAATAAAGTTACCCGGTTAATACGGCCACCCCGTTAATACGGCCAACGGCCATACTGTAGAGACCGGAACTAAAGAAATCACCCCGTTAATACGGTCACTCAAAAAAATAAATGTGTTTACAGACGGAAATGCAGTATAATTTAAGACACCTTGTGCAGTGAAACACACAATTCAAGTTGCATCATATTATTAATTTTTTTATTTTTATTATCAGTCGCGCAAAGGAAAAGAAAGAATACAAGGTTCTTTAGCGACGCTGTATTCCCTAACATTGTTTCTTTAAAATTAGTGAAAACTTTATCTGAACTTTATAACTGGTTTAGTTATTAATTGGTATTATGGTGGGGTATGGTGTTATTGTGATTTTCGAATAAACATAGCTTTAATGACGTCACAATTGAAATTTGATTTCACCCCGTTAATACGGCCACCCCGTTATATACGGCCATCTTATTTCGACCCGTTGGTGACCGTATTAACGGGGTTCCACTGTATTTGTTTTTGGTACGTTTAGGCAATGTCAAATCGGCTCCCGACTGTCTTGTGTTATGGTCGTGTACATCACCAACATTTGTGAACATATCACACAAGTAATCGGGGACCAATTTGTTTTTCACCTTGCATTGTACATGAGAATTGAAAGTTTTTGCATTCTTCTTTTTTCGAGGTTCGGAACTTTTAGCTTGTTTAATATATCAGCCGATCGTGTCGTATAATTCTCACGAGTGATCATTCGAAACGCTCTGTTTTGTAATTTTTGGACTTTACCTGCTAATGGTTTCCCTAAGCAACCCCACATTGTTATATTGGGAGACATATATATATATATATATATATATATATATATATATATATATATATATATATATATATATATATGTAATGTGAACGTTAATACTTATAGGAAACTATACGCACTTCCGCTACTAGAACACAACACACACTTGAGCACAATAATCGAAATAAGGTTGAATTATGGATTGGTATATTGTTATTAAGGTATTGAATTCGACTGTATCCCGGAGTCGTCTGAGAATAGCAAGGCCTGAAGTGACCTTTTTTGAAATGTGTTCGACCTGCGCGGTCCAATCTAAAGACTCGTCTATCATTAGGCCCAATGATTTTGTTATTTCAACTCTCTTAATTTCTAAGTTACTTACACTGATAGCAGGATCGGCAATCACTTGACTAAGCCTTTTCTTGGAACCAATTATCATATATTCGGTTTTACTATTGTTCAGAGTTAATTTGTTTGCGCGCGGACAGCCAATTTGCAACATTGTTTAAATCTCTATTTAATGTTTCAGTGATAACTTTGATATCGTCACTTGATGTTGCAATTTGGGTATCATCCGCAAACATATCTGATTTTGTCCCGGCGTTTAAACATTTTGGTAAATCATTGATGCAAATTAGAAATAACAATGGGCCTAAACAAGAACCCTGAGGTATATGCCTGTTTTCATAATTGATGGACTTGATAGTTTGCCATTCACACCACAGCACTGGGTCCTATTTGATAGATACGACTCCAGCCAGCGATGTGCCGTTCCCTTTATTCCATAAGTTGCTATTTTGTCTACCAGTATATATTGTGGTCGACAGTATCGAGGGGCTTCGGTGGCCGAGTGGTTAGCGCACTTGCCTTTCACCTCTGAGGCTTAAGGTTCGAGTCTCACTAAGTCCCTTCTCAGTGTGACTCGAACCCAGTCCCCATGTGAAAAGAGTAAAAGTCAACGCTCTGCCGAAAGCCGTGGGCTCTCTCCGGGTACTCTGGTTTCCTCCCACAGGGAAAGTTGACAGGGTGGGTTAGGTAAAAAGGGCCCACAGTAATTGGCATATGCTGTTGTGGTGACCCT